GCTTCAAGTAAGCAGGCTTCAAAGGCATCTTTTCCTTAATTTTGTTTCGTCGTTGAAAATCACCAGCCTCCAAAACCTACGAGGTTGGTTGGTAATTACTTGGGATGGCGTATGTATTCAGGAAGTAAGCCCAGGGAGTTCTTTCCAAGAGTGATCTAAACCATTTAAATGCCAACGAGTATTCTTGTTTTAATGCCCCTGCAAATATAGGCTGTGTTCAGACAAAATATTGAAATTTTGACAACTCAGCTGCCAGGGTGTGGGTTTTACATGCCTGGTAAATCTCCATAACTTGCAGCATCCCCTTCCAGGTTTTAACTTGGGCAGGCCACCCGTATACTCTATTCAGACAAACTCTGCAACCCACCCCCACCCCCATGAAATATCTGATGAAGATACTACCAGATGGCCATCAAACCACGTGCTCCCCTAGTGGTGTCCAATCCTATGAACTTTGACTCAGGTCAGAGCCAAAGGGCGGAGGTACTTGAGGAGTAACGGAATTTGCTTCTGAGAAAACTTCCAAGGTTAATTAGATGCCCCTACCGTTGAATACAGTACAGCTGACATAGGGGTGCCCTGGAAATTAACTTCAGATCCATCCTGTAGATGCTTATTCAGGTGTGACTAACACTCAGGTTAGTGGGTATTGCCTCCAAGTAACTCCACACTGGAACTGCAGCCTTGGAAGGCAAATCTTACGGAACTCCTTGCCACTGCTTTACCAGGGAAGTGTCCTAATTTTTAGGTTGTTACTCTTTTGAAGGATCAAAGACTCCCAACCTACCCCCAGCAACAAAACTCTGGAGTAAGTTCTGGTGCCCGGTCCTATACCTGCTGAGAAGGAAAACCCGCGTTGTTTTAAATAGTGTTTACTTCCGCTTAAGAGACCATAGCGCTATAACTTGACGGAGAGAGCCGATGTAGGCTTAGCTGGAGATGAATCCCGTGGCTTCTTTGCATGGAGGTATATGCATCGGCTCGGATGCTTTGGCGCAACCCTCTTCCTGACTTTCCCTAAATTCTTCTAGGTAGTTCACCGCCTCTCAAGTTTATCTCGTGGGGAGTCCAAGCTTTGAGACAGACCCTCGCCTGCTTAAAGCTGTCCAGCCCAGGAACCCCACCGTCCTTGCCCTCCTCCTCCTCCTCCTCTTCTTCAATAGCCTTGTGATATCTACCCGCAAATCTGGCGTTGGAATTGACGTTTCTCTGAGTTTCTCCTCTTGTCATAAATCATTACGCTTCCCTTCTCTCCTCGTTCTCGACCTCCCTTCTCTCTTTAAAAAGAATCCCATAAAAAGGGAAGGGGCTGGGTGGGAAAGCTTCCAGCCCACGTGAAAAGGAAGAGGGGATACCTTTTTCTTGTTGTTGTTCCGATTTTTAAAAAAGTCTTGAGCGGGGGGGGGAGTTTGCACGGTGTTTTTCTCTTTAATTAAATACACGGAGTTTATTTTATTGGGGGCTTGCAACCGGCACGGCGGCTGTTCCGATTTTAGCCCCTCTGGCTAGGAAAGCAAAGCGAGGGGGGGGGCGATTTTGCAACCCGGCGGAACGGCATACGACGTGCCTCTACTTTTCAAGTAACTCCCCCCCGCCGCCCTTTTTTTTTAATTTAACGTAGAGAATCTCTCTCAAAGAACGTGATAACGAGAGGAGGATGAGCATGCGTTTACCAGCCGATGGGTATGTAGGCTGATAGAGGAGGGAAGACTGAAGGGGGGGGGAGATTTAGGGCAAATTTCAGAAAGAGGCATAAATCCTTCCCTAATTGTTTTATTAGAGGGATCAGATTAATACTAAACCTCCGTGTGAACAGCCCTCCCCGGAGAAAGCTTCTCTCCCCGCTGCTCCTCCTCCAGGGTGCAGGAACAGTAAACACCACCAAAATTGACACAAATCTCGTTGAAACTGGAAAGGATTTCACTATCCTTCCCCGATATATTTTTTTTAAAAAACAGGGCAATTCCAATCGATTAGACACATGCTAATTGGAGACCCAAATACTAATCGTTATGACAGCTAATAAGAGTTCTGTTTAAAACAATGCCTTCCCTACGGTATTATCTTTGCTGATAGTTACGAGAAAGGATTCTTATTAAAAGAGCTTTCAAAAAAAAAATATTCCTTAAGTTATTTCTCACCCTCTCTCGTATAGGCACCCCTATGCCTTTCTTAAGCTGTCCTGCTCTAAAGTGGGCCAACGTGAACAGCAAGGCATAAAGACCAAAACACTAAAATCACATATGCCTGTTAAGGAAAATCCTGAGCTTATCGAATGGGGCTTGGTTGCTTTTCCAAAGGGGGAAGCTCTCTCTGCGAGAACCCATCAAACGGACCCTCCCTTTACGCACTAATTCTCTCTCCCCTCCCGGAACAACTCCCCTTAAATGGTTCCCATTAGGTAGTTTAAGATACCATAATCTCGAGGGCAAAGGGAGGGATTCCGCAAATGAGAGCGGCAGTCCCAACAATTAACATGAAGGAGAAAATGGGATTCGAATTAGGTGGAACAAGATCAAAACTTAGCAAATCGTCCCCTTCTAACTTCGCCAGGTTTCCAGCAGCAAAGGAGAGAAAGGGGCGGGGGAGGAGGTGCCCCCACAGGCTTCATACCACACGCGCACTGCTGCCCTGCCAAGTGCACATTTACAGGGAAATAGACGTCCCATCTATTCCAGGAGAACTCCCTCCCAAGGGAAGCATGCTTTGCAGCCCTGTTCGGTTCACATTTTCTCCGAAGTAAATCCCGCCGATGCCAAGAGAACTGTAAGACTGCGGCGTTACAGGCACTGTTCACAATAAACCCACTTTGAACGATAAGCAGGTTTAAGATTTAGGCTGGGATCCCACGCCCAAGGATCTACCTCCTTGAATATGGTCAGATTTACTTCGGAGAAAACTCTGCACAGGGATCAGCCAAGTGTTGTAGCCCGGCAGAGCGATCCTAAACACCTGCGCTCCTCCAGTGACCACTGGACGGCAAGTCCTGGCAGGGTTCTCTACGTTTGCAACCCCAGCGTCTTAGAACTCACAGGCAGGAGAGTATATTGTAAGGAAGAGATACGTAAAAATACACTTATTTCTGGTTAACCACGGGGGGTATCATCTCCTCCTTCAACCTCCCACTTTTTTCCCTTTTTTGGGGGGGGGGCGGATTTTATACCTTAGATTGGCTGGATTTTCATTACAGACTGCCCAAAGGGAACGATGCAACGAAAACATTCCACGTTTTGCTTCTTTCTCTTCGACTTTTAAAAGAGTCTCGACTCAAGAAGCATCCCCTATCGCTACCAGTGGCAGAAAGCATTAAATACGTCCTTTAAAGAAAATAGATCACAGATGCTTAGGATGCTGATCCCCCGTTCTTCAGTGTTTCCTCGCTGGCATATCTGAGCCTTTGGTTAAAACAAAACAGACCCTTTAATATGCAAAATAGTAGGCTGTAATCGGAACAGCATCCAACTCAATGCTGTTACTGTATTTCCAAAACAACCTATCCTCGTCGTCGTCTCCCCCTACACACAGGTTTGGTAAAATACAGTATCAATACAATGTTCTATTCCGTTTTCTCACATTCATAAGTAACCATTGTTCTTACTTTCAAGGAAGCAAGGAGATAGTATAAGAATAAGATTTTTTTTTTAAAAAAAAGCATTCTGATCCTATGGTGTGTGGGTTTTTTGCTGTTGTTTTTTGAAGGGGATGTCTAAGTAGCTGCCATAAAATACATCAAGTGTTTCGTAGTCGATAAAGTAATGGACTAGGACTCAGGAGACGCGGTTCGATCCCCCGGCTCTGCCACGGAAGTTCACTGGGGATCTGGAACTGGTGAAACCATTCTTTAAACGTCTCACTTGCCTTGTAAGCCCTGTTAGGGTTACTATAAGTCGATCCCGACTTGATGGCACGTAAGAACAAAAACGTACAAATACTGTACTTTATTTGGGGGGACACTGGGGAGTATAATTGTCGCCATCTGAATTTTCCCTCTGTTTCATCTAAGATTCTAGAGGACCTCATACCTCTATCTGCAAATCAAAAATGTATATGGCTATACACGTTTTGGATCCCTTTATTACGCTCCCTGCCTTGTCATGTTTAATAACTGCGTGCATGCCTGTCTTTTTCTAAAACTGCAAATTTAAACAAACAGAAACACCCACGTTTTCTATGTATCCTCTCCCCCTCCTCTCCAAAAAGGGGGAAGTCTTAACAAAGCAGCCCTAGAAAAACATCCTTGTTCCAGATTTGTCTGAAGATGTTGAGATAACTATTATTTGCCCTCTCTTGAGAGATTTCCTTGGGGAGGGGGAGAGTGAATTAGAAGCCTCCACCCCTTGGAACAGCCAATTCCCTTCCCACCCTCATCGCCTTCCCCCCCTTAACTCAGCCCATCTATGATAATAAATAATAATAATAATAAACGACGCCAAGAGAATTGGGGAGGGGGCGGTCAAAGTGATTAAAGTAGAAACAATTAGAAAAAAAAGACAAGTAAGCCTTTGAGCTGGGGAAAACGCAAACACGGAGACCCATTTTCCTGCCCCCCCCCCTTGCTACACCTCTGGTTTATGACCCTGATAAACCATCTTTTTCCCCCTGTGCAACTTGCAAGGAGGGATTTACTTTAAAAAAAAAACTTGGATTGCCTTTGCTGGCGTGTTTCTATTTCTATTTCAGACTTTGGGTGTATTTAATAAGGCGAGAGCTTCCCTCCTCGCCCTCCCCTCCTTTCCTCCTAGTTTGCTTTCTAAGCTGGGTTTAGGTTGTTTTTTCCTCCCCTTCTTCTCTGTATGGCTACATTTCCTTTTTCTCTCCCTCTCCCTCTCTCTCAAGAGCGTCTATCAATGAGCTGTCAATCAGAGCGGCGGCTTCCCTTTCATCTTCTCTCCTCCCGCCCCCACCCTTTCAACAGAGCGAGCGAGAGCGCGAGAGGAAGGGAGG